TTTTTTTTCACACACAAGCACCTTACCTTCTCATGACAATCAATTGCTCCTCGATAGTCCCTTAACAGATGGAGTACGTTCCCCACACAACCAAAGATCCGGCCAACATTGGCATGATCATTTAGTGCGCGTGAGTAATTTGAGCTGTTCCTAAAGTACGCCCTAATATGCCACTGTTCAGAAGATAAAAGGGACTTACATGTAACATTCAAGTGCAGTACGTAGGTCCTCATTGTCAATATTCGAGTTCCCATCACCCGTGTCGGATCCGCGAGCGGCAGCCTCCTTAAAAGATAGTATGAGACTCCTGAGGCAAAATATTGAATGATCTGATCTTACATTCATAGTTCTCGTCACAGCCAACTTCGCCCTGGCATGGTATATGGTTCCAAGGTTATAATACGCACGTGCAAGGCATTGCTGCAAAATCAACATGGTTTTTGACCATAGCCCAAGATCAGCTCAAAGGAAACTTTCATGCACCACTACAGCCAATTAAATAAGCAAAATCATTGACTAAACCGGGAAAGTATTAAGAACCTCAGACAAACACTCTAACTGACCTTGTCATCAAGTTCACTAGCTATAGATAATTGTCGTCGGGTGAGATCAAGTGCATCAGCAAACTCTTCTTTCATCTTCTTCACATTACCCATGTTTCCGTATGCTTTAGCTTCTCCTAATCTATCATGCATAAGCCTAAAAATGAAAATTAGAATGGGAGAAAGCTGACAGGGCCACCAACCTTGCAACTACCGCGTCATATGAATGGTAAATAAATGCGTCGTCCATGTCATTTACGGAAAAATAAGCATTGCCTAATTGGCAATAGATAGCAGATAACGTGGACAAGTTGGTAGTTCCCAGCCTCAACGCATCAAGAAAACGAGGAATTGCTGAAAATAAAATGAGAATGGATGAAAAGTAACTAGATTAGAGATTCAACACACCCTCATGGAATTTCCCTTCTCGACAAAGACGTTCGCCCGCTTTCGCTAATTCGAAGCAAGCTTTGGAAGCCTTATCGGCATCCTTCATATCCAGAAATTCAGGCCTAAGAACGCAAATGGTCTGAAATCAACAATGTTCAGTGACTAGATATAAGCAAAATACACGCACAAAGATAGCATAATGCAACATAGACACATTACCTTTTAGCTTTACTAAAGGTGTTCGATTAAAAATATGCAAATAACAAGCAAAACAGTCTTCAAGAAAATGTAGGCTCTAATGATGGATAAGAAGGACAGCGAACAACTTGAAAACGTGCGCGAATGCATTGGCACGATGGTAACTCACAAAGATAAGGATGGCGCTAGAAAGAGACCCCGAGTACCCAACGAAACTCATTCAGATATATTCTGGAGAGAAAGAAAACAAAAAAAAACTTCCGACAAAAACAACGCATACAGCCGCATTAACTCGATATTCGAGCAAGCTCAAATCGGGCGTGAGTCTGCGTGCGTACCCACTCTGCTTCTCTGCCGCTCTTGCGAGTTCGATGGAAGGGACTCTTTAATTTTTCCAATTTACATGCTGCAATACCAGTTAGTGGGGAATGTAATGGAACCGAGGACGTCTTGAAATCACGAAGGCAGTGGTTGTTTTGGCTTCTGGGATCGGAAAAGCCCAAGGGGAGCACTAGCCGACCAGTTACCGAGGTTGCAATCTTGCGCTTTCGAGTAAAGCTTAACGTCATATTCCGAGATTCAAGTTAGGTGATCAAGTGGGTATTAGTGAAACGAACACTTCTTCGGTTGTGACATTTCGATTTGCTTCATTTTACTAGAATACAGTCACACAAAAGAATACACAGAATACAATATATCAGAATACACACATACATACAGACAGACAGACATACATACAAACAGACAT